TATCAGCTACACGTCTGCAGAACTTTACTTGTGAAAAGCTGCTAATTTTGCTCTCTCACCCATTTACTATGGCCTAAATTCTATCTTCTTGCAGGTGATCGATGAAATAATGGAGATGGGTGGAATGGCTAAGGCCGTTGCTTCTGGAATGACCAAGTTAAGAATTGAGGAGGCTGCTGCCAAGAAACAAGCTCGTATCGACGCAGGGAAAGATGTTATCGTAGGCGTGAATAAATATCGCCTCGCTGAGGTTAGTTCCTGTTTGTGAAATGGCTCAATAGTACTCCGAGGAGGGAAGGTGTACGGGGGGGGGGTCTCGAGAATACCTAGGAATATGCCTTACTGATTTCGTTTCCTGGTTGGTTCTTCGAGACTATAGCACCCGCTGAATGAAATCAGTACAGCTGAGAGCAAGAACTCTACTAAATATAGACTTCTATCAACGCGGATGATTTGTAGGAGGCGAAGGTCGATGTGCTTGTCGTTGATAACCAGAAAGTGCGTGAACAACAGATTGCAAAACTGGAACAAATCCGTAAGACAAGAGATCCTGAAAGGGCCAAAGCAGCTCTGGCAGCCATTACTGAAGTAAGGAACCAGTTGAGCAAGTTTCTTCCAATACATTCTGCAGTAACTATATACCTGACTCTCTCAAGGGAGCAGCCGGTAAGGGCAACCTTATGGAGTTGGCTATTGAAGCGTCTCGAGCCCGATGTACCGTTGGCGAAATCAGCGATGCTATGGAGAAGGTTTTCACACGGTAAGGACCTTTAGCGCATTTTGCTAAGCACTACACAGAGTGGCTTAAAAGTATGGGCCCTATTTTTCCCCGCAATTTTTCTTGCACTCAAACGGAGTTACAGCCTTGTTCGCTGCGAGCGATGGGGCGTGTCAGGAAGGCTGGGTACGGCGCGCCACCGTGCCTGTTCCCAGCAGTTGTTGAAGCAGGTGAATGACAGCAGTTGTTGAAGCAGGTGAATGACAGCAGTCGATGGAAAGCGACCGATAGCTACTAATACGAACGATATCATGCAGTCTTGTCGCTTGCCGAAAGAGAAAAGAAAAGATGGACGGTTCCGCACCAAGACTTTCGCCCCTGACACGCCCATCGCCCGCTGCGAACAAAGCTAGAGTCTGGGAGTCGTTTGAGCAAGCGTTCAAAATACCTTCAGAAGGTGCTTTGGGACTTCACAGTCATCGAAGGCACGGAGATCAGCCCTTAGCCGAAGACCTAGGGGTACACATGAAAAAGGCTAATGGGTAGCACCAGGACTGGGTACGCCGCGTAGAAGGATGGTTGTTGTGGAACAAAACAGTTTTCACGACTGAGTTCGTGCACGATAGCCAGATGATCGTCAGTTGAGTAGCTCCACCTCATCAACTCAAAAGAATTCTGAAAAGAAAAAAATCGAAAGCACTGTCCCTGGAAGGCCTCATTTTTTCATAAAAGAATGTCCCCTACAGGTAATACACCACAGATTATCACCATTGAAGAAGTGGACAATGATGTCCCAGCCTATCAAAAAGGGCCTTGAGATAATTAAGACGTTCGGAAGCAAAGCCGCAGCGGATGCTCTTCTGTCGTGTGGTATCCAGCTCACGAGGAGAATCAGGATGATGTTTAATTGGCATCGCCGCAACCAGTCAGGGTTGTATAAGGGAGCGTAAAATGACCCCGCCTCCTGCTGATGTCTTCTACCAATAGTGATCGACTAGTGATCGATTTAGGAGGACATCAGCCATTGGTAGAAACGCTGTGGGTGGGCTCATTCCATACCTCCTGCTACCTGAAAGTCTACACATGCTTTGGACGCTCCGTCGCCCCGATTTCTTCAACAAAGAAAGAGGTCTCCCAGTAGCTCGGCCACAAGTCCACTTGATCTTCCCATGTGCAATTTTAGAGAAGGAAACCAACGAAAGAGAAATAGGTCACTTGGGACACTCTTTGACTTAAA